GGTCCGGACTTGTCAGGGCTATTTAGTCCCGCTACGTTACCTAATCTCCGCGGTCACCCACCGAAACTGCATAAGCCACGGTCTGATAGGATTAGGACGGAAACTCGTCTATCGCGCCGAGTTATAGATAGCTGGAATTCGCTTCCAGATCACGTGGTTAGGGAACCTACGGTTAAGGATTTTGTGAGCCAGATCGATGCTGTTGGGTGGCAACAGCAAACCTTTCCTTTTTCCTAGCTGACTCACCTTCACTTTTCAGTTCTTTTTTTAATAATTCAAATATCTTGGTATTCCACTTGCTTAGCTTCTTCCACTTTCTTTTTTGCCTTCTGAGTTTACTTTTTCTTTCTTACTTCACATAACAGACCCAGAAGGGACTGCTACGGCAGGATACATGGGCATTAATTGGTTGGACAGGGTGTGATGCGATCTTTGTTTTAGGTCCATCAGTATTTCAAATTCGCCAACTCCTGATTCAACGACCCGCCGAACAAGGAACACTCACGGGATAATCCTATCGTTCCAGTCCCGTTAGAACTTGAACTTGAAACTGAACAATGAACATATCTGTGTGAAACTATCCGTGATCTAGGCGAAGGATACACTTCAAACTTTAATTTCTCAGAACAAGCTGAGTATCAAATAGTATGTGTCAAACGATCTGTGTCTAACATATGCCGTAAAATCTATACAACTCCTGCCAGACTCGAGCTTTCAAAATACTTACACTTTCTGTCCTTGAATACTGCAACATCCTTTATGGGAACATGCGAATGGGTGACAGGAAAGCTTTGGAAAACCTGTAAAGATCATTCATTAAGCGCTTAATCATTAAATCAACCACTTTGAGTTATCAGGAGTGCTGCCAGCGGCTTAAGCTCGAGCCCCTTTGGTTGCGACGACTGGAACATAAACAGATGCTGATACACAATTTCATAAACCAAAAAGCATACTCCAATCTGTGTACACTTAAAATGCAACATAGCTTCACTCGGTATATACGTAACAGGACCTGTAGATTATGTGTGCCGAGGACCAGGACAGCTATCCGATCAAACTTCTTCCTCGTCAAGTACGCTGTCTTGTGGAATAGCCTACCAGCCACAATCAGGTCTTGCACAAATGCAAGAGCATTCCACATACAGAGTAGCAAATTTATTGACCAGAACTCGATAATCACCATGTTTCCATCGGGTAAATCACCACAGGAGTTTTTACAGGAGGGACCAAGGAATATATAACCAACGATTAAAGTTGGTACAAAGAACTCATCAACAATAAAAGTAACATGATTCCATATTATGCTGATATCATACACCCCATATTAAAATTTCACTCTTGCACGTACATGATAATTATTGTACCCATGATCTGTCCAAAATTAAAGGACAGCTTCTCGTACAATCGGGAAATATACATATTATTATCCATTCAGTTCTTTTTAACGATGCGGCTATTTTCCGTTTGCACCGTGCGGAGCAGCATCAGTTTCGGGAAACGTATAATCCATGCCGATGCATCAGCTCACGTAGATAACATGGCGCAAAGCTCATGGTATGGGTTGGGCTAACTGGCAAAGAATCATGGGACCATTATATTTTTCCGGTAATGTAAACGGTAGGTTGTTGTTTCGCAGTACCAATGCCTTACGTCTTCTTGTATCCTCGTACAAGAAATTACTGAAAACTTTTGTCATTCCGGAATTGGAAACACCTGGGTTATTAAATATCGTTTGGTTGCAACAAGATGGCGCACCTGCATACTATGCACAACGGTGAGGGATTTCCTCAAGCAGAAGTTCCCTTGCCGTTGGATCGGGCGGGGATGACCCATAGAGTGGACTGCTCGGTCACCAGACTTGAATTCATTAAATTTTTTCTCTGGGCTTACTTGAAACAGCGGGTTTGCAAAAGGAAGCCAAAATATTTTAAGGACTTAAAGCCGAGCATTTTGCACGAATGTCACGGGATCACTGTTGGTACTTTGGAGAAAGTGCTGGTAAACACCATCAGGCGAATGCTGCACTGTACACAAAACCTCGGCGGGAACTTTTGTACTTCGCTGACAAATCTAAGCGTTACACTGATAATATATATATATATATATATATATATATATATATATATATATATATATGCATCATGCAATGATTTATCGATTGAACTCGAGCGCTGGCCAATGCTCTCTTTTTTTTAGGAACGTCAGTTATTGGTTTATCCTAGGGTTTTGTGTGCGCGTGTCGTGTTCTAAATAGCTCGGGATATCCGTTCTCCCGTAGGTCGCCTCCAAGTTGAAACTTGTCCCTACGGTACAGTCTCTCTATTCCACCAAATTCATTTGGTAGAATAGCAGTCGAGGCCCAGTTTTCAGATTTGAATGAACATCTTCTCAGTTGAACGCAGAGCAAAGAGGAGACAAGCGGTTGTTTTACAACTACGAGAGTAGACCTTAACAAAAAGTCATGCGCTAGCGACACCGAGCAGTGGCGTACCATGACGAAGAATCATTGCGTGTCTTTAACGTAATAGCTATGCCATGAAAAGTTTGTAATACTGAGACAGGATATTGGGTTAGGTGTCGTCATAATGCAGAAACGGGACAACATCCAAGAAATGCAACAAGTTCTTGCAGACTCTAGTTGATTCGTTCATGACGTGAGAGACAAGGATGAAACCGAAGAAATTATGAAACCAAACATTTATGAACTAAAGTCCTTAACGATGATGGGATGGAATCACGCAAATCTTTAACACAGCCGATCACTGGAGCATCTCGGCTTCCTTATTTGTAAGGACTGCCGCGAAGCGGTGTTTCAACTGCATCTCTTGACTACCTCATGTTTCATTCTGGCCTTGTACCACTTTCTCGTAATCCGTACTGCTATGCCTTCAGTTCTCACTGACTATGGGCACGGCAACCCTGCGCTTTGTTCTAATGCAGGTAGGGAATCACAGTTACCTCTTGCGCAATGTTTGCATTCATATGATGGGAAACAGTTCCCATACTTTAAGGATCGTATCTGACCTTCCACATTCATCATACGTGAGCTATGTTAAGCAATGCACAATCGGCCGCGTTCTGTTGCCTGGCCAACGATCACCCCATGTTCACTGCGATCAGGAAGGCATATTTCATTGGTCAGGTCAGGTTTCAACGCGTCCTATTGTTCAACCATAGCCTCATGCTAGGTATTTCCATTCGGCCGTGCATGTGCCCCCGATCGCCATATCGAATTCGTCTGCGTTGGTGTGACTTAACTGTCCACGACCAACTGGATAAGGTAAGTTATGGACTTCGGTATCTGATGGCAGCAACCTGCGTTATGCACAGGAGACACTTAAGTGTCGTAAAATACTGTGTCTATGTTACAAGGGTAGTGCGTGTCTGACGGAACCCGGAAACAAAAGATTCCTCATAATTGCTACTTGGGGATCGTGCGACTGTGCCACCTCATTGTAACGAGATGACCTGCGATAGATTCCGAAAATTTTTATATTAGGATGCATAGGAACCAATCTTAACTGAGCTCATGATTTAGTACGCATTTCAAGTCTACTTTGCTAATATGCACTTTCAATGTCCTATTGTTGAACCACTTCATTTGAACGGTTTCACCACAACTTACACCTTCTGACTGTACAGTATAACCCAATGTCTGCAGGTTTCAGGAAAACTCATTAACGACACTAGTTACAACCATGACTCATCGGGAAACGGAAGGACAGAAACAAACCATGTGATCACCACAAAGTCATTGTGGGCAGGTTTACCTTTGTGGTTATGCTAATAGTAAGTTGAGTCCATTGATAGACTTGCTAAGTAGTCGCTCCACGTTTTTGAGATTGTAATTCGCATCCTAACCATCCTACGTGACTCTTAAAACTGTACACATAACAAACCATTTATACCCCTCCAGGAGGTCTACTCGGTAAGATAACAAGTAAGTAAGAGCCTTATGACAATTGTCCAGCTGTGTTATACATGGTCCGGATGTACTGGCTAGTTCTACTAGTGTCAGACACTCGATTTAGGACTTTCAGGTAGAACGAATAGAAGCAATCAATATTTCACGTTATCCCTGTGGCCACGTCAGCAATGTTGTCACGTTGTTGTTGTCGAGCGGAGAAAATTAATGCGGACGCCAACACATGCGTAAACTTACTAACCATCACTATTCTCTAACAGTATTTCAGCTTGCATGATATGAATACAGTTTTCTGTTAGACCACTCCCCCGAGTTTTCTAAGTGATAGGACGTTTCTGTGACCGTAGACGTGCCACTCACAGTCGCGCGTACCGTTAATACCGGTTCTGTTTGGTTTGATTCCCTTCACTTTATAAGTATAGCTTAGGAGAAATAAGGGATTTGTTGGATAAATCAACGTATATGTCTTCGTACCCAGACCATTATCATACTGACATTTTGCTCACTCTTTAACACAAGCAAAGGAATTGTCAGAACTAGGTTTCGTTTCGACATCGGTACGCTTCACCAAAAAAGATTGGTTTGTCCAATGTGCCACAAGGTTGTTGGCGACCGAGGACTTTGTTATGAAGTAAACTCGTCCTCTCAATTGCTTTAGCGCTGTGTAGAAACTTCTGATCAGTTCCACAGGTGACATCGGATGCAGACGGAAACCAGTCTTGCGATTTTGGGAAAATGGTGGGTTATTTTATGTAGCGGACAGAATCCAATTCGGCTCTTTAGCTCCACTACTTATCACTGCAAGAAGTAAACGTTTTAGTTCGTAACGCATTTCGTTGCAAACGAAAAAGTCTATTTTTGTAACTACTGGTAATCGCAGTGTGTTGGACCCATGTCGTACACACAGTGGAGGATAAACAAAACCATCGCACGAAAATTAGGTGTAAAATAGGCTGCAACGATGTAGAAATGAAAATAGTTCGGTTCTTTTAGATAAACCGTCATCGCAACACAACGTTTGATAATTTCAATAATGAAACAATCCAAAAGCGATTTCATCAACTGGTCCCACGCTTCATGGGAATTGATTGCCGGCCATCTGGCTACCACTCATGTCAAACTTTCTGTCGCCGCCTTCATCCCTGCCCATCCTACCTTCCTGGGTGCTATGTGATCGTTCACCAAATTGCCCACCGCCAGAAGGATGAGTACCAGTTTCACGGCCTCCATGCTGCTGTTCACTGCCAAACTCATCGGCACCCATGTGATGGCCGCCATGCCGATCTCCACCCCCTTTCTCATCACTTTGGGAATGCATAGGTTGACGTCCTCTGTCACGCCCATGATCGCTGTCTCTGTCACCCATGCGCCGATCGCGTCCCATTTGATCGTCGCCACTTTGACGGTGGCCATGTTGAGCGTCGTCACGCCTACCACAGTCATGTGCGTGACCACGAGGTCTTTCGGTTTTCCTTATTGTCTCATCGCTCGGGTTACGATCTTCACCACTGGAGTCATCCGAATGCTTCGGCACAGCACTAGAGGCCCACTCCTTGAGCTTGTTCATCACCAGAAGTTTAGATGCTGAAGTGCTTGTTGTGTCCTGCAAATTAAGATAACCTAATTGGTTAACATTTCAATGCATCTAGAAACATCAATCTAAGTTAGTTCAATTTCATTGTATCATTGATGACCAAAACCGGTCAGAGCGCTTATGTGAGACTCATGTTGAACTTATCACAACTTAAGGGCACTTACTGCAAAAGTGGATTTGTTGAACCAACTCACTTCACTCACTTATCTTCTGAGACGTCTCGCGTCCACCGTTTATAATTATACATGCGGTTCGATCAGGTAGGCGGGCAGATAAACGACGTATCTACATACTCAGTGTCCGAAATAATCACATGTGTTCATCTTTCGTCTATCGCAAAGTACAAGTTATGTGGCTAACATGACAACGAGCAAAGTTACTCTGACATGTGACTCGTCTTAGCGAAAAATTGGCACTAATGTACCAGAAACCGCACGGTTAATACTGACATGTGATATCGAGCGAGTCAGTTATCACAGAAAATGCGTGCTTAGATGTGCTCGAGATAGCAGCAACTTTGGTTACTTCACGAGGTGAAGTACACGTAGGCACTAACTAAAAAGTGCGTGACTTTCCAGTTGAATTCTTGCTTAATATCTCGTAATTGTTTGCCAGTCTCGTATGTTATGTTCGTTATGGTTCACAGATTTCTGTGTTCAATTCCCACAGTACACACCTCATTGATGTCGGATACCCGTGTTGACAGTAACAATGGCTTGTAGCATTGCGGAAATTTCCGCCGAAGCCGCTGATATCCTGCAAGTTACTGTGGGAGGGAATGATCACTGGATCCAACCAATGCGTAATCCGCTGCCTTCTGTACACATCTCCAGCAGTAGTAATACCAGCATATTGCTCTGTTATTGCGCCTTGCATCACGCGAGTGAGGGACATGCAGGCGAGGGAAGACACTAAGTAGGTGAATGGATATACATTACTGCATGAACGAAAACACTGCACTTCCATGACGCGTTGCGAAGCCATTTCATCTCATCAGATAGAGATAGCAGGCGTCGAACCCAGGACCATTGGGATATTAGTCGAGACCGCTACCCTAATCCACCAGATCACGACGGACAACGCTGGACACAACGGGTGCTGATTGACCATGGTTTTCCCTTTTGAAGTACAGGTTGTGTGGATGAATTGTGACGCTCAATCTCCATGTTGACTGCGATTCACATCGAATTGAACATTGGTTATTCGATTACAAGGACCGTAGATGAAGCAGATGGAAATTGGGGGTTTCCTGTTCGAAAACAATGCACACCATAACGCGTCTCGATCTTGTTTGTTCTCATCCAATGGAGATAGCCAGCGTCGAACCCGGGACCATTGGAATGTGGACCGGAACGTCCACCACTTGAACCACCGGGTCACGACCGCCAACCGTTAATGACTGATTGGATGGGTCATTTTGAAGTACTTGCTGTGTGAATGGATTGCGATATGCAACCCTTTTTGGTCGCTGTGGCAGTGTGGGAAGAAGATTAAAATTGTGCTTCGCAATCCATTCACAAGAAGAGTGCTTCTAAACGAGCATTCTAATGTGCTTAGGAGGGTCTCCAAAGGAAACTTGCAAGAAATAGAGGCTCGTTGATCTCTCTTGGGATATAGAGTAAATTCAACACCGACCAGCCCTTTTATAAGGAGGATTCGAGTGCTTGAGCTTAACCGTTGAATAGACATGAACCACATAGGTTTTTATTTATGACCAACAGTAATAATTTTGCAGACGGAATCCAATACCGTACTGATGTCAGCATAGTATACTGCCTCTCCAGGGATTGTTTCCTCACTCTGCAACTTACAATATTCTCAATTCGAGCAAAATTCAGCCTTTTCAAGACTTAGGATACTGCGGACAAGTATGGTCTCGGTGAATCACAGGGCCGGTATTTCCGTTTAAGCTGACATCCGTTGTTGGTCGAGAATTGATTCAAGAAGACTGCTAAAACACTTTCAATCCAGAGTCATTTTAGCTCCAAATCTGGTTTTCTGCTTGCTTCTCTGCTTCCTAACGTCCCACGAGTCGACATCATTCCATAGTTAACATCAGTAATTGCGCCGCAAAGAAGTCACATTTTGTCTAATAATTGTGCTCGTGGTTTGATGGTGAGGCTAAGCTGGAAGGAGAGGGACAAAGAAATTCACCACGCAAACTTCATTGAGGTCGGCTCCTAGCCATGTCAATATGTGTATCCAACCAAACGTGTTCATTGGCCTTCGGTCCCCAACCAGGGAGCCGAGAGGCTCCAACCGAGGCCAACTTCGAAATAAAGTCTTCATTCCTCTCGACCAAGTCATCGCTTGCCCACTTCTCCTCTTCTTCCCTTCGCACTCCCGGCGCGTAAACAACGCACTTCACAGGAATCAGTGGGGTGGCATGCGCAACACGTGACCCAGCCATCGCAGCCTGGTGCGTGAAATAACGGTGCTGAGCGATTCGCTTCTACTTTCTGCGCCATAAACAAGGCGTCGAACAAGCTCATTGCTCATACTGTGTTCCAACCAGATATGAGCCAAACTGATATAGCACCGGTATTCGAACCTAACTAGCCTCTTTAGGTTCGCTGATCTAAGGGGCTAGTTTTCACAACCATACAGTAGGATCGAACGGACGGCTGCCTTGTATACTCCATCCTGCAGGGAGGGAGTGATGTCGCACCGACGCTATAGGTGGTGAAGGTTAGCAAAAATGTCTCGCGATTATGCTACACAGTTTGTGACCTCGCCTTTACTTCGAACGGCGCTGATATAACTACCTAGGTAGCTGAATTTTGAAAGACTTCTAACTGATACCATCCAGGGGCCAGCGTAGGAGGCGGTCTCTGCCAAGCTTGGAATGAAGGTTTGCAAATGAAGGTTGCAAAGCAGAGCTCTATATGTTTGACAGTCAGTGCCGCTTGGCACGTTTGGGAGATGTCACCAATGAGGACATTATCGTCTGCATACTCGAAATCAAGAAATCGTTCACCTGGGAGCAACTGCACACCTTCTGAATCGTGCTCTGTGAATACGATTTCCATGACTTCGTCAATAGTAAAGTTGAAGAGGAAAGGTGACAGCGGGTATCCTTGTGTTACACCGCTGAAGATATTCAAGTGCAGCGACAGCTTGCGTAAGCCCTTACTCTGTCCGAGCTACGCGCGTTAGGCGCTTGCATAAGACTTATATACTTTTCGGGCACACCTTTCCTCACCAGACAGTTTCAAAGGGCCCGTCGATCCACTGAATCGAAGGCACATTTGATGTCAAGGAAATCGACGACGGTTGGTCACCAATATAAGTTACGGTGCTCCAGCAACTGACGTGTGTGAATGTCTGATCGATGCATCTCTGACCTCGACGAAACCCGGCTTGCTCTTCACGAACCTGGCTTTCATGATGGCCAGGCACTCTGTGAAGGTTAACAGAGGCAAGTAATTTGGAGGCGATGGGGATCAGACTGATTCACCCACGCTTGCCGCATTCCAAAGGCGAGCCTATCATAAAGATCGGGAAAAGAACGGAGCAACTCCAGTAGGCTGGGACATAAATGAATAAACGATATATTTCACGACATGCGTGACACAGGCAAAATATCAGACTGATCATTGGTACAACAAAGTTGGATAGAGGAGGGATTATCCAAGCTCTGTTATGTTCTTAATAAACTGTGCTCAATCATTTTAAAAGTAGTGAAATATGGGGTTGGGAATAGGAATAAAAGTAGATATAGCCGTCAATTCAAGTAAAGTAATACGACCCACCATGGAACCGTCTCCCGGAGACCTGCTTCCACACCTCACTTCCACGTCTCACTTGGACATGTGCTGTTTTGGCTTAAAGCAAGTAGCAACGATTTGTATGACTCGTATTTTTTGGCTGTTTGTATATACAATTTTGTCATCACCATCATGGAAACACGTTAGACATAAATATGTGTAAAGTTATGTGAGGGCCTGTGTAATATCAAAAACTCTCTCCATCTTACAGCCATCATTTCGCTAATTCGGGTCTAACAATTTTAATATTCGCCAGTGAGTTCGCGACTATTCGCATTGCATGATTGTACTGCATTTTTTGGTAAAGTTTATCATTTACCTCAGGAGGTCAGCTCAGTCGTGGCCAGCAGTGGCAGGAGAGAAATAAACAAATTGAAAAAGAATGAAGGAACAATAACCGGAAAATGATGGGATTTTGTCCGAAGTGGTCCGATAAAGATTGTACAAATTATCACAGGAGACGTAAATCCTCAGACATGTACAAGTTTTTTTAAAAGTTTTCTGAGGAACTAATTGAGATGGTTCCAACAGTTGTGGGAGATCAAACTTGGGAGATTGGTGGTTCGAAATCAATTTGTATGCCCTGAGAAATGCCGAGATGCACAAAATATTTTCACCAAAAAGGGAGAGCACTGTACGCAGTGTAGAGCAACTTCACTGTCGTCCCAACAGTTTAGCTGCGTTTTTTAAGAGGAGAAATTGATTTCGAGGGAGGTAAGCATTCAGTGATTGGAAACGTGGATGATTCTGATAGGCTTTCAGATAGGGCACTCAGATGAATCCAGTCAAAAGCGAAGCTAATATCTATATTGTTTCCGCGGAGCACGAAGAACTGCAGCAGGTGCCTAAGGGGTGGGCTCTAGGGAAAAGTAGAAAATGATTGGTATTGCAGAACGATGTGATGCAGCTTGCTACAGAGGAACTAGGACATAATTCCGCTTCAATAAGTGTAAGGTTCATGGTCCTCAGGTTACCTTTTCTTTAGAAAATAGCTTTTATCTATTGATATATATAGGGAAGGTAACCAGATCTAGGCAACCGGACAGAAAAGCTATCTAGGTATTGAGGCTCTATCCATCTTACGTACGGGATTTATTTGTGTTGGTAGGACGCAGTATACCACTCTTTGTATCCACGTTTAGAAATGAATGTATAGCGTGTCGGAACTTTAGCCCTGACTGGATTTCAAGGATCTCATATGGAAGTCTGTTCTATGGCATGGAGTATCGGTTAAGGAAAAAGTTATCGGACAGCTTTGTTCGTGATCTTTTCATCGTTACATTATTGTTGTTAGTATTTCGAGTGCGAGACAGGCACATTACTGCTCCTAGTACTTTTTGTTGTGGGAAGTGTAGTTTTTGGGTAATTGCATCAAAGAAGACGAAAAGGTTAATTTTCTTTCTTCGCAGCCACTTCGGATCAAGTTGTA